TTTTATTATTTTTAAAAGTAATTTTTAATTTTTTAATAAAATTTTAAACTTATAATTTATAAATAATATTAAAAAAATAAAAACTCCACCAAACAAGCTTAAATATTATTTATTATTTCATTATTAGGGCGGTACTGGTGCTCCGTGCAATAGGTTTAAAGAGTTTAGAACATGTGTCCTCAATAATTAGCTTAATTGTTAGCCCACCGAAAGACACTACTATCCTACCACTTGATTGCCATCTACAATAAGTTGGTAGAGCTCACCTTACAAAATTGATAAATTTTAACTCTTAATTTTATAATATGATATTTTTAATTATTTTTTTTTATAAAATTGATAGATTTTAACCTTTTACCTTATAAAATTGATAAGATTTAACTCATTACTTTATATTAGGACAATTTTAGTCCTTTATCTATATAAATTGAAAAAAATAGCTCTCATTTAACATCATGTTATAATATTCTGTTAGTTCTGCTAATTTTGTTAGTTGACTGTCAATTGTGTTAATTGATTGTCAATTCTGTTAGCTGACTATTAGTTTTGTTAGCTGACTATTAATATCCGTTAACATTTCCTTAACAAAACTAACAAATAAAATTGAATTTAAATTTCATTTTTTCTTTAACGAAATGCTAATGGATGTTAACAGTTAACTAATAAAACTCATAGAATGTTATAACTTGATATTAGGTGAGGGTTATTTTCTGCAATTTGTATAGGTGTGGAGATAAAAATGTCATAATATAAGGTGAAATGAAAGTTAAAACCTATTAATTTTATAAGGTAAAAGACTAAATCCTATCAAATTTATAAAGTAAAAGATTAAAAATATCATATTATAAAGTAGAGGACTAAAATCTATCAATTTTATAAAATAAGTACCTCAATTGTCCCCATCTACGTAAGGTAGAGGCTAGTGATGTGATTTTGTATCAAGACGTTTATTTTTTAAGTATATTTTTAATATTTTAATTTTCTTTTACTGTAAATTATTTCCTTTGGTTAATACTAATTATTTGCATTTTTTTTTTTAAATACAAGTATTGGTTGTGGTTGTTGTCCACTATTATTAGCCATCTACATTGATGAACCACGTAGGCATAGCATAGCCAGTAATAGTGTTGGTAGCTTTGCGTACATTTTGTTTCTCCATTTCCACTGGACCGCTACATTGGTTGCACCATGCCTTTCAGCTAAGGTCTTCCATACTATGTACCTTCAATTTAAGTAGCTTTAGTTTTTTATTTTATTTTTTTTATGAATTTAGATAGCTTTAGTACGAGCTTATCTTTTTTCTTTACTCATTTTTTTTTATATATTTTGTTTGTTGTATGCATTTTAAATTTATGGAGTGTTTGCAATCTTAGTTCTTGGAATATTAGACATGGTATACTTTTGTATCAGAAACATTAGATAAATTTAATTTTTCATCTACTAACTACTACTCTCTTTTTATTTTAGTCTAAAAAGTTTAGTTATTTTCAAAATCATCTATAAACTTTAAAAATCATTTCAAATTCATCTATCTAATTAACTGCTGTTAGTTTTTTTAACAGAATCTCATGTCATACCTAGTGGCATATGCAGTTTTAAAAAATTACACTTTAACCCAAAAAGCTTCACAAAATTTTCAATTAAGTTTGATATTAAAACCATTCCACAATACAATTTACTAAACTAAAGTCCTTAAATGGACTAAATTATAATTAATGAAAACTAATGATAAATAATTACGATTGTTAGCTTAATTTGTTAATTAATTAAGATTACAATATTATTTTTATCAAATTAAAATTAAAAAAATCTTTTACTTGTAAAAATTTTAAAAATGTATTTTCTCTATCTTAAAATAATAAAAATTTTTGAATTTATTTTTAAATTAAAGATTTAGAAAGAATTTATGTTATTACATATTTTATCCTTAAAAAGGAAATAAAATTAAAGAACTTTTTAAAAAATAGTGATAAATAGGATAAAAAAATTTGGACTAAAATTTAGTTTATACCACGCTATTTAAAATATTAAAAAGTGGATTCTATATTATTTAATAATTGATTTTTTTAAGACTTATGATATTATATGCATTAATTAATTCAATAATATAATTTATATCACATTATTAGTTCTAAATTTTTATCCTCCCTATCATTACTCTTTCATGATAAAAAAAGATGATTAAAATTAAGATATGATCATAAAATTAAAGTAAAAATAAAAAATTTATTTCATTTAAAATATTAAAAAATCACTATTATTTTAAGACAAATTCTAAATAAAAAAATGCTTATTGCTTTGAAAGGTAGGGAGTACATTCTGACTTTACTCCATTTATCCCAAAATAATTAACACTCAATAATTTCAAATTTGTCTCAAATTAATTACTATTTTTTTATTTTTTTATTTTTTTATTTTTTAAGGTAAACAAACATATTTTTTACTTTAACCTTATTATTATCTATTTACTTTAATTAATCACCCCATTAGAAAATGTTTTTCTTCATCTTTTATTTCTTTTTAAGGGTAATATAAGTAAACAAAAATTATTCCTAAATTTCTAATTTGAAAAAAAATAAAAAACAAAAGTTATTTTGAGAAAGAGGTAATACAAATAAAAATTAATTTTTTGAACTAAATAAAAAAAATGATATAACTTTATCCTAATAATGACAATGATGATTTTTTTAGTTATTAATCAAAATTAAAACATATAAATTTATTACAAAATAAAAAAATAAAAAATTAAAAAAAATCTCACTAAGAAAGTAAAAATATTGTTAAGATGAACAAATAAAAAGAAAAGAAGAAGTACAATTTTTTAAAATTGCATATGCCACATAATTGGTGTCACATAAGCATGCCATGGGATTCTATTAAAAAACTAACGAAAGTTAATTAGATAGATGAATTTGAAATGATTTTCAAAATTTATAGATAACTTTAAAAAAATAAAAAGCTAAACTTTTTAAACTAAAATAAAAAGAGAGTAATAGTTAGTAGATGAAAAATTAAATTTAGCCCAGAAACATCTAATTTTCCTACTTTTCCTGAGTTAGAGAATAGAGGAGGTAATGGTTTTGGGAGAGGTTCACTGGCTAAAACTAACTTTTAGTACCTAACCTTACAAAATTAGTAGGTTTTAACTTTTAACTTTATAATATAACACTTTTAACTTTTTTCCTTACTTAGTAAGTTTTAACCCCTTACCTTACAAAATTGGTAGGTTTTAACCCTTACCTTATACTATAACACTTTTAACCCCTTATCTGTACGAATTGAAGAAAATAGCATTCACTTAACATCAAGTTATAATATTTCTGTTAATTATGTTAGCTGACTATCAATTCTATTAGTTAATTGTTAGCATCCGTTAGTAAACTGTTAGCATCCGTTAGCATTTCGTTAATGGAACTAACATATAAAATTGAATTTAAATTTCATATTTTTCTATAACGGAATACTAACAGATGTTAATAGTCAACTAACAGAACTAACAAAATATTATAACCTGATATTAGGTGAGGGCTATTTTCTTCAATTCGTATAGGTGAGCGGTTAAAAATATCATAATATAAGGTAAATGGTTAAAACCTACCAACTTTGTAAGGTGAGGGTTAAAACCTATCAATTTTGTAAGGTAAAGGACCTAAAGTGTCATATTATAAGATAAGAGGTTAAAACCTATCAATTTTGTAAGGTGAGGGGTTCAATGTTGATTTCTGCCGAGGTTCACTAGTGATAGACGTAGAAGTTGTAGCCTCCAACTTTTTGTATGCTATTTTTTTTTAAGTATAATAAAAATATAGGTGGTTCCTTCAAGAAATTCTTATTTGCGTTTGGTTCCTTAACTCTTCAAGATAAAAATTCAAAAGCAAATAATAAATTTGTCAATTAATTATTGGATTTTTCTTTTCTATTTTCAATTAAATTTTAAATTTGTGCATTAAATGTGTATTCTCTATGCATTATCCATGCATTTTATGTAGTTTCAATTTCTTCTTGGTATATGACTTTAAACTTTATTTAATGTAGTTATTACATTTTATTATATATATTTATTATTAATTGAAAATTTTTCCCAATAATTGAAGTCCATTACACCAAAGTCTTTGTATTTCTTTCCTCAAGGCTTGTGCCCAACTTGTACTCTAAATAGTTTCATCCCTGAAGATAGAAATAAAGCCAATGAAGGAGAAGGGTAGCCGTCCCTAAACTTTTGAAAAATATTTAATATATTACTTTAATTTTTATTTGTTAAAAATTTTGTTTTTATAGTATGAATTTTAAGGGCCCTTTCAAATATAGAGAGAATATCTAGGATTTAAATAAAAAGTTTTTGAAAAATAAGGGTATAATTCAAATGAAATGAATTTTATATGAATTTGATTAATTTAAAATTAGGATTCTTAAACATTTCCTCACTTATTAAGCCAAAAAAAAAAAACTTTGATTTTATGTTTAAACAACTTTATATTTGTAGTTCTTTATAGTAGTCTTTTTATTTTCTTTCTTTATATTTTATGTAATAATGTTTTTTTAAAAAAATTGGCATTGAGCTATGTTTTTTACTATTTATGATTGAATTTATAATAATGTTTTTTTTATTAAATCAATTTAAGTTACATTTTATTTTTTAAAAGAAATATTCCGTTATTTTTTTATTATATTAATATTTATCAACTAAACCTCCAAAACAACTAGGAGAAAAAATATTAAAAAATTATATTATTTCAATAAAACCAAAATACTCATATTCTTACTTTAATAATTTTTTTTGTCTTTTTTCTATATGAATTTATTGAAATAACGTAATTTTATAATGTTGTTTCACTTAATTTTTTATAAATCCAAGTAATAAACACTTCTCTCTCTTTTTCATTCATTCTTCAATTGATCATTGCATGATTTATCATTGTGATTTTTTTTTTTTCATTTTAATAAATACATTTATTTCTAATTTTTTTAAAATATATCAATGAAAAAGACCATCATAAGTGAATTTTTTTATAAGAGAAAAAATATTTAGAATAAAATGAATTAATATCTTAAAAAATACTTGAAACTCAAACCTTCAACAATATTTTTTGCCCCTTACCTAAATGTCACGGCTTCGTCCCGACCTAAAGATAACATTATTTAAATTATTTCATTTATTTAGCTAACTATTTAAATAATTTAATGATAATTTTTTTTATTGAAAATAAGAGACTTTGTACAACCAACAAAAAAAAAAATTATTTCATTTACTCATGTTGTAAGAGGTTTTATCCAAAAAAATTACAACTTGCAATACTAAAACTGAACATGATCGTTTCTGGACAATGAATGAATGAAGTAGTATAAAATTCAAACATGTGAGTTTTAAGATTTAAAGCCACATGAAAATCAAACCTATAAATCAAATTAAAACCATAAAATAGAACATGATTCAAAACCTAAAAGTTCTCACGATCAAAACCACATAGAAATCAACCCAAATCCCATGTAAAAAAAAGCAAATTCAGAGTCAATAGAAAAAAATCAAATAAGTTTA